CGGGTTGTCTGCCTCCACCTTCCCTTCATTATGTCCTCCATGTTCCGTCGGGCCCTGGGAGTTTGTTTTTGATTGCACGTCGTCACTTGGTCCTTGCCTGATTCCGATGGCGTCTGGATCCTGGCGCTGGTCAACATCTTCCGTCCTTGCGGCTTCCGGCTGTTCTGCTTGATCGTCGCCATTCCGGACTCCGGCTGGCTGTGTCCCGGAGGTACCCTCTAGGCCTTGGGGACTCATCGGTGCTGGGGTGGGTTGTTGTCCCACTACCTGCTCACTGTTATTTCTGTTGTCTCTTTTTTTCTCTTGGTTTTTTTCGTTTGGTAAGTGGGGGGCCTTTTGGCTCTCATAAGTGCTGGTTGTCGTCATTAGTTCTCTTTCGCTGTCTCCTTCCTTTAGGACTAAGGCTTTTGCTCCCCTTCTCCTGGTGCGGGTTACCCTTAACCTGTCTGTGTTGTTCCAGATATTCACCTTCATCCCTTGGCCTCCCTTGTTTGAAGCTGCACACACCAACGTTGCCCCCTGAAAATAACATGGAGGAAGACTCCTCAAGTCCCAACTTCCTTTTAGTAGTAGATTCCCCAATGTTAATCCCTTCTTATACTCACAACATTGGCTTAAACCATAAGCGATGCTTAATAGAAATCCTAAACCATCCAACCTACCCTGCTCGTCGGCGTTGGACTCCTCAATCTGGTCTAGAAATTGACTAATGGTTATTATTTCCTCCGGGGTGTTCCCTGCTTCTTTTTTCCTTAATTGTAACTTGACCTGCTCCAGGATATTTGCACAAGGGCCCTCGGTTCGATTCGTTCCTGAGGGGCTTGCTGAATCATCAGTCAATAATGCCATTATCACACATGCTATGGCGCTTAGGAGGCCTTGCCCCTTTGCCACGTCGTTCCATGCCCCACTTAAGCCGTCCTTCACCAGCTCTCTCCACTTGTCGTTGGTCCAAACTACTTTGGTGTTTGTATTGTTTCCTATCCGGAGCTCCTGTACTTCCAATGCATGGTCTGCAATGCAGTCGAGAATTGCCTTCCAGTTGTAATCCTCCTGCTGGTTGCTAGAGAGGTCCGCATATACTGCTTTCCTATGCTTGCTTATTCTTGGCCATAGCTGCGAGATATTCGCATCTTTTAATTTGTCGGTCCATCTTCCCGTAAAACCCGTTGTAGCCCCTTCCCTGTTGCGAATCTCTTGATAACAATATCTGTGTCTTCCTTTATCACATGCTCCTCGGTTAGGTGCTGGTGTCCTGGCTTCGTAGCTTCGCATGTGACTTCTCAACGTTAAGTCGTCCATGATTCTGGAGATTTGGGGAGTTTACTACGTTTGGGTAACTCTTATTCCTTCTTTCTTCTGGAGTTCAGGTTAGTCCCTCCTTTAGTCACTTCTGCTGTTTCTATCGTTGCTGTACGCCTCAATTTTGCCTTCTGTTCCGCTCTTAATTGGTTTTCCTCAGATTACTCTGATCCCCTGTTTTGCCTTTACCTTGCGTTTCGGGGCTCCTGCCTCATCTCTCTCTCCCCAGGTGTCCCATCGCCTGGGGTCTCCTGCTTCCATGTTTCCTGTTCAATGTCTTTGGAGTGCGCCTCCTTTGTCTAACTCTTCTCCTTTGGCTCCATGTTATCCTGTTTCCTTTGTGCCTGAGGGCTCCTTGGTTTGTCTCTGTCCCATTCACGGAATCGCCACGCCACGGTGTTTTCCCCCTTTGTTGACGCTGATTTGTTCTGCTGGACTTCTTGCCTGGGGGGAGTTGAGGTGTGATTCCTCTCATCCTCCTCTCGTTGCAATTGCCTTGATTCCTTATCTATGACAGCGAGCTCTTTTTTCGATGGGGGGTTTGGTTCGGGGCTTCCTTCTCCTATGCTTCCTCCTCTGCCCCTCCGGTGTTGTTCCGTCTCTTCACCCTTTTCTCCATCGTCTCTTCTCTTTTGGTTGCGCCGGGTGCACGACGCTCCTATCTGTAGTCGTTGTGTTTCCTGCTGCCTGTTCTTCAAGGTTTGCTCCGCGACTCATACCTAGGGTTCCTGCTTCCTCGGGGGGATGTCTCGTCGCTTCTTTTCATTCTCTGTCCTCCCCCCCTTCACGGCTGCTCCTTCGTCTGCTGGCTTGATGGTTGTCTCACTGGGAAGATTTCCTTTCTTCGCCTGGACTGCCCCCTGTTCTCTAAATCTTCCTTTACGTCTTGCTACTCTTCGGTCTTGAATCTTGCCCCAACGTGGCTGTCCCCTCCTGTGCGATTGCCGTCGGACGTGGGCTGTATTAGTGCTGTCTGTTCATCTTGGACTCTAAATTTTGCCTCTCCTGCGTTATTCCTCAGGGGCGTCCCTCTGTTCTGGCCCCTCGCCTCACTTGTCTTCTCAGAGTTTTGCTCTGTGCGCAATCTGTTCTGCCTTGATTGCTCTCTTTTTCTCTTTTCCGCTCCTCTTCCACTTCTTATTTCGTCTTTTTGGTTCGGGGGGTTTTCCTTATCTCGGCCTTGGGTTCGGTGGGTTGCCGCATTCTTTTGGGGTTGATGGTCTCTTCCTCCTCTGGTTGTGGTTTGTCGGTTCCTAACGTAATTAGCTCGTCTCTGTTGTGGGGTTGGCCCCCGGCCCTGTTTGTGGGTTTTCCAAAGGACCTCCTGTTTACCTTTTTTGTTTGCTCGGTTGAGTGCGTTATATCGACGATTACCTGGTCGTGTCGTTTCCAGGAGCCTCCTTTTGTCTCTCGGCTACACCTACTCCTGGGTTGCGGTTCTTTCCTGTGGGCCTTGTCTGACAGGGGGGGGCTTGTCTTTACGCGCTTTTCCTCTCTTTCTCTTGAACGAGATGTCCTGATCCGTCAGTTTCCAATCTGCTTCTGTTGTGAAATCTCCTTCTTCTGTCCCTTGACGCAGATGATTTTCACCTGGCTTGGGGGACGTGCCCACTGCGTCAGTCTCGGGACATAAACGCTGTTGGTCTGCCTTCAGCTCTGTTTGCATGCCTTGTACTCCTCTCTCTCCTGGAATATCCTCCTTTATCATGTTCTTTATTCTATCTTTGTCGACTTTGTCGTCTTGTTTCCTCCTGCTTCTGACCCGTTGTTGTATTTCTACCTTCTTGATTGTTTGTCTGTCGTCTCCGTCCTTCTGCTTCATCGTTTTAGACGCCTTGGCGTCTGTTATTTGCTTCTCCACTCGTGTTAACTCCTAGGAGCTGTCGTTCCCCGTTGGGGGAGCCCGATGTCTCCTATTCGTCGGGGCTTACTCTTGGCTTGTTGTTTTCCTGGGCTGCTAGATACCTGGGCTGCTCTTGCTTAGTCGAGGTCAGTCCCCTTGGGAGGCGGGTTAGACCTATTCTGTTGGATGAGTTGGACTTCTGAGTCCTGACGGTATAATGGCGTCTAATGGATTGGCCCCCTGGACTACTTCCATCTATTTGGGGATTCTCGTAGCTTCTTCTCACCTGCGCAGTTTCTGGCTTGTTCTTCGGGTTTTTGCCTCGGTCTTCTTAGGGTTTACCCTTCTTTTGTTTAGGATAGGATTCTCAAGCTTAATCTCCTCCTAATTTGGAAGAGGTTGGTTGAGATCCCGCCTGGCCGCTTCTGCTGTTCCTTCCAAGAAAGCCCCTACGACCTCCCTTTTCATTCTTGCCGTCTGCTGCTTCTCGGGGGCTGATCTTTTAACGTCTCTGGAGATCCTCTGTTCTTAAGCTAGGGGGCGGATTCCCTGGCTTCTTGTTTCTTGGAAGGGGGGATCGGTTTTGATCAGGAAGTTACCTTACGTGCTGTCTTTATTATTGATGTATGTTTCCTATTCAATTTGGGCTATTTCTCTTTTGGCTCTGTTGTTGCTTGGCTGGGGGGTCTGTCTAGCCGCCTTTTATAACGGTTTCGGGACTTTTACCTGGTTTGCCCTTTTCGGTTATCTGATTGGGAACTTCTCATTAAGGCAGCTGCTTTGCCTCTTCTGAGTCTTTTGTTGCTTAACATGTATATATGGCCTTCCTTGTCCCCTTTTAACTGTTTTCAGTTTCTGGTATATTTCGACCCTCTAGCCACTAGTTGTGATCCTCATGAGTTTTTCACCTGTTGTTTCTTTGGGCGGATCGTTTTCATTTTGGTTTGTTCGTATCCTTCTGGATTTGCCTCCTTTGCCCACCAGTCTCTGGCGGTATTTTTCTGTTTTTTGGGATGTTATTCTCTTGATTATTCTTCCGGATTAGGTCTGTTCAGAAGGAGGCGTCCTTTGTTCTATATTGGCCTGTGCTATTGTCTCTTCTATGATGCTTCGTGTCTCTTATCTGCTTTTCAGTGTAAATTGGCTCCCTTTTCGAGGCTTCTATTAGGCGGCTTGTATTTGGTTGCTGGGAGGGCCTCCTGTCAGTTGCCGTATGACTTGTCACTTGGCTCCCCCGGCTTTTGGGGTTTGATTCTCCTGGTCCTTCGGGTTACTATAGTCTACTGTATTTTCGAGGTCTGGCCAGTTGGGCTTCGTCCTTGGTTTTTTTTGTTCTCATTTGGCTTTTTTCCTCCGCGGGACCCACCTAGTTTCGGTTTTGTCCCGGGATTTCTTTTTTTGTATTAGCTTTGGTTAATGTGGCTTGGCCTTGGGTTGTGTTTGCTAGGAGTCGTCTATTGTGGTACGGAGGGAGTCGATAACCTATGCCTGCTGTGGGGGGCTTTTTGGTTCTATTGTTGCCTTAGGTTCTTCGTCGCCTTCGTCTGGTTGGTATTATTGCTGTTTGGTGAGATTTTCTGGTTCTCTTTTTTCCTGAGTGATGGAGTCGTTCCTTTGTCTCCTGCTACTCTTTTCTTCCGGAGGCAGCTGTACAGATATTTGGGCTTATTTTTTTTGGCTCTGAGGGTTGCTCAATCTTCGACGCGTGCGGAGAGTTAGGGTTGTTGTTGTAAAGTCCTCTCCTACCTGGGCTTGTGGCGCATATTGGGGTTTGACCCTCTTGGAGATGTTTTCCCTCCCTTAACCTTTTGGGTGTGGGCTTCTTAATAATTTCCCTGCTTTTTCTGCTGGCGGGGTACACACTGTGGGAGAGGTATTCGGAGATTTTGTCGCTTTGTTTTATCTTTGTTGGTTGGTAGGGGAGAGATTATTTGGTCCTATGTTTTGGTATGCCTGGGGGTGGTTCTGTTATGGATTTGGACAGCTTCAATCACTGTTTCCTCCTGGCTGTTTCTTTGATCTTTGCGTAGTTCAGTTGCTACTCCTTATGACTTTTCCTCTCCCTCACGTGTTGGAGAAGTTTTTATGTTCTGGTTTGAGCTGTGGCTTCCTTATTTGTTATTGTTTTGGTCGACTTCTTGTTTCTTTTGCAGGTACTTGGGGGATTATTTCCGGGCACGAGGCCTTTTGTTCTCCTTCTGGCGCCTGAGTGATCAGTTGTCCTTTTTGTTAGTCCTGCTGGTCCTCGTCCTTCCTCATAGGAGACTTGGTGTGGTTGGGGTGTTTCTGCTGGATCATCTTTTCTCTTATTGTTCCTTCTGCTTTAATCTGGTGTCTTATCTTTTTCCATTGGGTTTTCCTATCGTTTCCTACATTTTGGTGTGTGGGCGAGTCTTTACTTGGTTCCCTCTTTGGGTTGGTGTTGATGTTCTTCTTGTTTGGCGGCTTGTTGTTTGCTTGTTTAGTAACCCTTTCTGTGGAATGGTTGTTTGTTTCTCAATTTTTCAGGGGATGTCAACCTGTTCTGTTTCTTCCCTTATCCTATTTCCTTTTTTCCCCGGTTGTCAGATCGTTCCCTTCGAATTCCTTACTTTGGTCGCGTTTCCTTCCATCCTGACTTTTCTTGGGGAGATCCTCCTGCGGTTTCTTGGGGATTTCTGGGGATTACAGGCCACGTGTCTCTTCTTCTTTTTCTGGGGAGGGTGCCTGGTGCGTCTTTGTTTCGACGGTTTGGCTTCGAGATTCCTCCGGGTCCTCCTATTCGATGCTTCGGGTGTTTCTTGTCGTTTGGGGGGGCCCGTTGTTGCTATTGGGGAACTGCGGTTTGAAATTAGTTTTGGTTTCTTGTCCCTGTTTTCCTTTTTCCCTGCAGCTGAGTGACTGCTTGATAAATTCTTTTCGTATTCTCATAGGGGAGGCCTTATGATTATTGCTCCCCTTTTCTTGGGAGTTTCCCTGGGTTCGATTCCTGTGACTTTTTCCTTGCTTTCTGCTGCTGCTGTTTGTTCGTAATCGGCACCCGAGGGGGTTCCTCCCGGGTTTATTCCTCTTTGGATTAATGTCATCTTCCCGGGAGCTCCCTTCCTCTGGCCGCCTTATTCGTCCAGGGATTTTCCTCTGGGGGTGGGGCTTCTTGGGCGAAACCTTCCCTTGGTTTTTTGGTTTATTGCGATTCTTGGGAGTCCTGTAGCTGACTTCTTCTGTCCCCTGATTCTTGTTGTATGACTTGGGGGCGGAGTCCTATATGATGGCTCGGTGGCGCATGTGTTTAGGGGCGGTGGGAATTACTGGCTGGTAGTTGTCATTTGCTGTTAGATGCGCATGGCACTCTTGGGCTTGTATTCATTCTATACTTCCGTTCATTCCTGGAATTATTTCTGACAGGCTTGGGGTTGGAGGGGATTCTCTGGCGTTCTCGAGGATTGTCCGCTGCTTCATCAGTTTATTATTTGAGGTGCAGACCTTTTGGGTGGCTTCGCTTACTTGGGGCTCGGATTTGGGGTGAGTTGGGAAGTATTACTTGTTGGGTTGTTATAGTCCTTCCCCCCCTATAGGGTACCTCTGTTGAACTTCTCGGTTAGACAGCGGTTTTTGCTGGTTTTTATAGTTGCATAGTTATTTTTAACCGATTTGGTTGGTCGGATCAGTGAAAAGCACCTTTCCTTTTTACTTTTGTCCGTATTTCTGCCTGTTCTCTTCCCTTTCCTTCCCTATTCTTTCCTTTTGGTCTGGGGAGTTAGTTCAGCTGGATCTGAGGAATTAAGACGAAGTCTTTTAGGGAGCTTAAGTCCTCACATTATGGTTGAGACCTGAGTTAATATGATACGACCTGTCACCTGTCGGTAGCTTTGGTTTCCTTCTTCCTTTAGCCCCTGTCGAGTCCCTTGCCGTTGCTTCTGAGATTTTGTGGGGAATCCTGTCTTTGTTGTTATCTCTCCTGTGCGTTCCATAAGGAGAATATGGGGAGGTTTTTCTTTCTGGATAATTAATTTAACCGCTAGTCCGTCTTACATGCTTCGCTGAGACAGTTGCTGGGGTCTTTTGGTACTTATCGATTTGATTTCTTCTGCCGTGATTATCTCTTACTTACGGCTTAGAGATATAGGATAGGACCCAAAATTTCCGCCGGTGGGAATAGATGTTGCTGTTTTTTCTTTGTTCAGTACTAAGACTCAGTCTATATCTTTATCTATTATGATCCTTGCTTATTATTTCGCCTCTTCTAGAGGTTTCATAACGTATTTATATCCGCGTTAAGCGGTTTCGGTGGCTCTTGGCGCTACCAGTCAAACTTCTCTTTTTTTTTTTCCTTTCCTTACCTTCTATTTATTTTAGATATTAATTCTGTTATTACTTTGATTTTACTTATATAAATTAAACAATTTCTTCATTCTTCCATATATGGTATAGGAAAGATTCATATCCTCTTATTTGTCGGTTCTGAATAACATAAGGCGCGGCTATTTCATCTTTCACTCTTGTTCCTCCTTTAATAGAGATGTTAAGAAAGGTGTTAACTGCACCTGATTATTAGATCTACTTGAGGAACTCATATATACGACTTCTCACATGTGGCAGCTCATTACGAGGGGATAAAGAGAGATAAGGACTAAATATTCTTTCTATATGTTCCTCTACATTCTATAAGGGGTTGCGTAGGAATTGATTTTGCCTAGATCTTGTGTGAATTTCACAATCATTCCACAATTATTATTTTAGTAACCTAATTACATGATCTTAGCCGCGGTCTCTTTTGGCGTGTCCCTAGGCACTATTGGAAATCTAATCCAGATTATGATAGAACACTAGGCAATTTTTCTCTCTTAGGTATTAACATTAGAACTTTACTAATTATTAATGTACATTCATATCATATAATACTTATGGCGTCGTAGAGACATTAATCTGCTGATTTGTTTGTTATACTACTCTTCCTTCTTTTTATTTTAATATTGTTAATTTTGTCATCATAGATTGGGCCTGTCAGAAGATAAGGGAGATACCATTAGTGCCACTGATAAAGAACTAATTATACCTTTTCTAATGATTTCATTATTTAATACGGAGTGCATCATAGGAAATATATCACGCGATTCCTATTTTTTGGACTAGAAAAGGACGTATAATTGTAAATATTTCTTCTCTTCATTCCTGCTGCTTAAATATTAGCCGAAAGAGAGAAAGGAATAAACAAATAATCGGAATAAATCCAATCTTTCACTATGCCGATAAAATGTTCTTGGATCCCTGTTATATGACCCTCTTCTTGTTAATCAATCCTAAAGAATAAGGGTGCCTGCAGGTAATATACTCTCGTGCTGACTTTTTAAATTTAAAATGATAGAAGAAGATGGGAAGCTGAGATGAAATAGGAAATAAACCCTTTTTTAATACGTGTAAAAAATAAATAAAAAAATTCTATACCCTCGGAACATGCCCAGAGTTATCTTCTAGCTTAATCCATAGATATGTTAATCCTTAAGGAGATGATATATTTCTTAGGACTATGAATTTAGTGATAGAGAAGAATATTCCTATCACATTAATTACACTTTGGAGGGATTATTCTTGGGAGACAGTGACGGAATCATAAGGATGTGTAGTGATCAAGTTTGTTTTTTATAGTAATTTTGATAAAGTGAGGTGGGGCAAATCTTCCACATCCTCCAGTTCACAACTAAATCAGTTTGTCGGTGTAGGCTGTCAGATATATAGAGTATAGCAGTTCATAGTATTCCAACCTAGCTGTTGCTATGCTATGGGCGGGAGTTTTGAATATTTCTTACAGGATTGTTCGGGAATAAGACTTGATAAAACTCATAAATGGTACCACAGAATGTCTTCAGTATTGTTTTTAATAAAGCGCGCGAATATAAAAGTCTTGTCAACTCACCTATGATCCTTAACTTTCGAAGTTCTCGCGGATATGACTAATTCCATATTCTATGGCTTCAGAATAATTCTACTTTGCCGGAATGGAACAATACATTCGGGTTTATACGCAGCTTGTCGC